AGCCCAGAGCGGGCCCCGGGGTCTGCCGGCCTCTGCCCCACCCGCTGCGACCGCTTCACCCGGGAGGTGGGTCTGATTCCTGTTCATCCTGCAAATGTGCTGGCATCCTAGAAGAAAATGGTGCCTGGCCCAGTTGAAAATTTTACTGAACACCTACTATGCGCCAGGCCAGGCATTGTTTTAGACCAGGCACTGTTTTAGGCAGTGGTTGCATCCAGCTTGATTTAAATTCCAAAATCAGCACTCCCTGGCTGGGACTTTTGAGCAATTTAACTTCCCTGAGACTCGCCTATTCTATAAAATGAAGAAAATAATGACTAGTCTATTTTAATGTTGTAAAATTAAATGAGATGAGAATCATGCCTGCAGGCACATAGTAGGTATTTGCAGTCCCCCCTCCCATAAATCCTTGCGATTACCTGGCACAGAGTCTACTCTGTCTTCCTAGAAGAGTAGTCCTTGTGTAGTTGGACAGAAATCTCCAAAACTTATGAGTGGAGAGGCAACCCGCTGGTACCTGAGTTCCACTTCACTTGATAAAATAATGGGCCCAGAGGAGGCATGTGTTAGAGCACTTTATTCAGGACAGTTATCAAGTGCAGTCTCCCTTAGGCACAGTTCCAGGGTACACAGATGCGTATTTCCTGGATTTAGTATTGTCGTCAAGGAGCTTAGGGTTAGTAAATGTTATACACCCAGAAGCCGGTGATGTCCTTCTGTTTCCCGGCCACAACCTGTCCCTCCCATTGTAAATATCATGTCCAGTATTATTAAGGGGAACCAAGCAAGTCCTGTCTGAAAGCTGGAGGCCAACTCACTTTTACCTGAAAACTGCATTTCACAACACACATTCTCCTCTGTAAAGCACCAAACACCTTCTCTCTTCCCCAGAGATGGGAAATGGAGGACTAGGTTAATCCCGAGGGTGCAAGTTATCATTTCAGGATAACCATTTGGTTAAGACTACTTCCCTTCCTAGCATTTAATGAGTTAATAATTGTGTCTTTTTTATTGCAAGACACTGCCGTGGTACATCCACTTTGGTTTCTTCTCTACGCACCACCCACAGCTTCCACCCCAGAGTGGCCATGTAGAGCTAGAGGTACAGCTCACTGTCATGTACTAACAGAGCTACTCATCTCACATGGAATTAAGCCACAGGCTCCATTGTACTAGCATTATTTTGTCACCACCAAGCCCAGCACCAGGTCCATAAAAACCTGCAATGGACATAAGCAGGAAAGTAGGGCCGGGAATTTAGCTCAGTGGTTCCACCACCTGCCTTGCAAGTGCAAGGTCCTGAGTTCGATCCCCAGTACCAGAAAAGAAAAAAAAAGTAGTGAATGAAGTAAAGGTTGCTTCCCAGAAGAGAAACCAGAAGGGCATGAGAGGCAGCTGCTTTAGTCCCACAGGTCACAGTCCCTATGCCAGACTTTCCAGCGACCCATGACTGATGGAGCCAAGGCAGCTGAGGAAGGAAGAGCTCCTACCCTGGGAGGTATCCAGTCCTAGGCTAATTTCCAGCAGTCCCTGCTTAATTCTGAGGCAGGTATTAAAGAGCAGAAAGGGATGAAGTGGATGACAGACACTAAAGGCTAATCTGGGCGTGGTGGTGCACACCTGTAATCCCAGCACTTGGGAGGCTGAGGCAGGAAGATTGCTGGAATCTGAAGACAGCCTGGGCCACATAGTGAGTTCAAGGCCAAGGTGAACTACATAGCAATACCTTGTCTCAAAAACAAAAAAAGATGTCAAGAACTATGGCTACCATACATTTCTCATATAGGAAAGCACCTGGTATGTCCCCTCATCTGTCAGGTGGGCAATGATGGCCTCTTCTCTGCTCATCTAGGAATTCTATAGCTGCCATGCTGGAAGGGAGTTTGAAGAGACAGATGCTCAACTAAAATGTTCAGAAGCCAAAAAGGGAAGAGATTCCTAACATCCAAATATCTACTTGTCCATATTTCTGGTGCTCTGTGTCCTACAACAATCTTTACTTGAGGAAGAAAACTTCTAGACTCACTCTTAGCTGAGTGGAAAACCAGATCTGAGCTTCTGTCTTGGTGCTGCCCCACCATGGTATAGCTAATTTAAGAATCAGGCTAAGGATACTCGAGGCCACCAATGACTAGGAAAACAAGAGTAGCCTCACACTCTCAGGCTTTCCAGCCTGCAGGCTCCTTGGTTAGAGCTTCTTACTGTGACACAGTTGTACCAGCTTCCATGGGAGGGCATCTCCCTAGGCTGTGATGTCAGGACAACTTGAGTGTGACTAAAGCCAGAGGCAGGGCTTTCTGGAGAGTAGGACACTGGGAATAAGGTGATAAAACTCCAAGATTGACAAGCATGGCGGCCAACACCTGCAATCCCAGCACTCAGAAGGCTGAGGCAGGTGGTTCACCATGAGTGGAAAGTCAGCTTGAGCTAAATAATTAGTTGGAGGCCATCCTGGACCTACATAGTGAGACTCTGTCTCAAACCACCTCCCACCATCCCAAATAAACTCCAAGATCAATTAGAATGGATAGAAAGTGTTAATGTGAGGTCAGAGTCAAATATTATGTGTAAATCTCATAAAAGTTTTCAGGCTTTTGCTATGAATTTTCAACATTCCTGCCTTTGGTAGACCTACTTTTTGCCAACTTTTAAATTCAAACTTAAATACCCAATCTCTGTGTGTCCTGAAAAATCTTTGCTTTAAACACATACAAAGTTTGAGGAAAATGCCATTTCCCTCTTAAATTACTCTCAGCCTGGTTCAGTTAGGCATTTTGCCTCCTTCTTCACAAGTTTTTCGGTTTTTCTTCGTTTTGTTTTGGTACCAAAGATCAAACACAGGACCTTGCGCTTGCAAGGCAGGCCACAAAACCGCTGAGCTAAATCCCCAGCCCTTTGTTTTGTTTTTTGAGACAAGGTCTCACTATGTAGTTCAGGCTGGCCTCGAACTTGCAGCCATCCTCTTGCCAGCCTCCCAAGTGCTGGGATCACAGGCATGAGCCACCACACCTGGCTTCTTCAAAGTTTTAATGCTGTAGATGAGTGCAGTTCATTGGCTTCTCTTCAGTTCTTACTTACCTCAGTCTTAGTAAATAAGGAGGTGCTTAGCTACTCAGCACTTCTAATTCAACAAACACCCAGGGCTCAGATACTCTTATGCAGAAGATGTGCATGCTGGAATCCAGCATTCTCTTTGAATCTCTTTTTTTTGGTACCAGAGCTCCAACTCAGGACCTTGTGCTTTCGAGGCAGGCGTTCTACCACTGAGCTAAATAAATCCCCAGCCCCCCAAGGTTATTCTTATATTCAGCCAAGAACGAACTCACCAATACTCTTCTACTCATCTTGTCTCCGCCCCACAAGATCATCTGGGGAAATAATAAACATGGCCAGGTTAATTATTCTAGTTCATTATTTTTATCCTGCTGTTTACTCATTGAACTTGGCTAGTAAATACTATCTTTCTTAAACAATTTTTAAAATTATAAACTCAAGGGGCCGGGGATGTAGCTCAGTGGCGCCATGCCTGCTTGGCAAGCACAAAGACCTGAGTTCGATTCCCAGTACCAAGAATAAAATAAAATAAAATAATGAACTCAAGACCAAGAACTAATGTTTACAGATTCTCATTCATCTTTGATTTTTCAATTCTGCATGTTTAACCCAGTCTCTCTAGCAGTGTGCCTGCTGCCTTCCTCATCTGTTATGGCTATCTCACAAAAGCTGCTGGTAGAAGTTAACACATCACATAGAGCCATCTGATACTTTCTGCATTAAACTTTGTTTTTCATCTCTGCTCATGGTCCTTCTTCCCTGCTCCCCAAATTGTAATCTTAGACTAACTTTCTCCCAGTACAGGCAAGCAAATGAAAATGAAATGACTGCTGCCTTGTCTTGAATGAAGCATCAACATTATTAGGAAATTGCTTAGTCAACAAGTAATTCTCCTACACCTAGTGGAGCAACACTTTCTTCTTAATCCTGCAACATACAAGTATGTTTCAATGCATTTGTTAATCCTCGTTTATCCTCACACTTTTATAAACTGGTATTGAGGAAAGTGAAAGTAAACTTAGGCCTCATAACTTCCTTTCTAGGACGTTTTTCATTACAACAATCTTCACCTTTACCAAAGCATTAAAAATGCTTTAGCTACGCTTCAAGATTTTAGGGTAAATGCAGGCTCTGCTAATAGGCAAACACAAAGTCACACAGCTAAGTGAGGTTTTATCAGATACTTTATCTGAAACATAGCCTGGGTATCTTGGTGAGCTATAAGGCACATTGCTTTTGAGTCTACTCTGACTGTATTGTTCTGCCTTTCCTGAAGGATTTTAGGGGTGAAACTTTTTTTGGAGGGAAGGCAATTTAATTGACCAAGTTGACCAAGTGACTGTGTGTGTGATTGTGGCCAGTTACTCAAAAAGAAACTGGGACAGGGCCAGAGGGATAGACACCCTTCCTTGACTTCTAGTAACTCATGATGCCTCCTACAAGACACATGAACAGCATCTCCCAGGTGATTTATGCCAGGAACAATATGCTCTGGCCTGTGACGATGCTTATAATGCAGACATCTTTGGAGGAAGCCCAAGAGGTTAAAGAGGATTCTCTCTATCCAGCTAGTTTCAGAAATGCCATTCAGTGTCACTGTCCTTCCCAAGTGAACCTAGCAGCTCAGAGATCCTGGAGCAGTGACATAGGACATTGGTATGAACCCCAGCTAACTGAACCAGAACAAATACATCAGCAACTTCACACGTTGACTGGAAACTTCTGGGACCTCATACAGAAAAAGGAGCTAGGTCAGATTTGCCACTGCAGAATCTGAACTGAGTAAAAAACAGTGCCACATGAAATTTAGAGGAGCTGAGAAGTACAGAAAAACAGAAAAGAACAGGCTAAACAGAAGTATTGGAAAATGGTGAGCAAAAAGCTGAGACATCGATCAATCATGTGTCTCTACAGAGCAGTTGATTCTCACCACCCCAAATTCAGCCCGACTTTTCAACCTCCTTAGGCTGGTTTTGTAAAAATCTCTCTTTTGTGTCATGGGCTGTGTCCTAAACAATTTGCCTGTTTCCTTTTAAGCCTGAACACCTCTGAGATACAGGTATCATTATCTTTATTTTACAGATAAGGAAACTAAGGCTCAAAATAGTTAAGTAATAGATCAGTATATTAGCCACAATGATGCCAGGACTTCAGTCTAGCTCTTCCTTGAGTCCTCTCTCAGCTATTCACTGTGCTAACACCATGGGTCCTATGTTAAGGCTCAGCACTCTCCCTGCTGTACCCCATCCTCATACCTATTTGACCTAACTTGAGGATCTTCTGCTTGTGGAATCCTGAAACTCACCAAAACACCCACCTCTCTGTGTGGTACTCTGTACAGCTTTCCTTGTGTCCAGGGTCACAAATATCCTCCTCACACACACAGAAAGAAAAGCCTGTGACATCAGAGGTCTTTATCACCTTGTTTTTACTTCTTGCTACTGAGTAGCCCTTGGGAAGCCACTGAGGCCTACTGCTGTCTATGAAGCTATGATAAGGGGAGGGGTATCTGTGAAGAAATTTGGGATTTCTATTCCACTTGGAAAAATATGGGCCCTTTAAAAAAAAACTTAAAAATGAGGCTTTTGCAGACTGAAACAGTAAACATTTGGAAGCTTATTAAGCCTCTGTGTCTGGGTGAGATAGGCATCGATACCTATCTCTCAAGAAAGGCCAGGAACTTTGCACTTCATTACTAATAATGAGGGATTTTATGCAGGGTACAGCTCTAGCTAGAGCCCAGATGTGTTTGCAGTAGTAAATGTCCAGCAGAAAAGGATCAGAGTCTTCTTTTAACTTTCTGGGCCATCAACCAACTTCCATTTATTTTCGTATCTGTGGCTGAACCAGAGATTCATCCAATGGTGACAATAAATATGCTAGCAAAGAAAGAGAATCTGGTAAGTCAACCCGCAGCACCCCAATGGGAAGAAGAGGGGAGTGGGCCAGAGGGGGAAGAGCACACTGTGGGGTTTCCTCTTTCCTGTTGTGTCTGACAATTGGATCTCAGGGGCCTCTTCCACAAAAGGGTTAGATGCGTGATTTCTCTGAGGAGTACTTGCCAGACCATTTCTCCTCCACACACTAAAAGCTTTCTGCTGGCTTTTACCTTAGCTTTTTGCCAATCCACTTTCAAATCTTTAGCAAACAGATTCTTTAGAGATGGCCTAGAGTTCTACCTGGTAGGGGCCTGATGGAGGGAAGAGAATGTAACCTAAACTGCTAAACTCCCAGCTTTGTCCCAGGGCCAAGAATTAGGATCCTACATTCCTGTCATCCTTCTGGGATGGCCCTACACATTCCCCTTCACTCAGCTTTATGGGTCTTGCTACATTGGTATTTGACCTGTATTCACTTTCTGCTAAAGCTTGGGTCTCTGCTGGCTATAGTTCCTTGCAGAACATGTGTGGATCTATCTGTACAATTTAATGCACAGGACTGTTTTTGTACTAAGTTGTGCAACCTCAGTGAATCTTTCAGGTTAAATTGAATCCTCAATATAACCTAGTTCCAGGCTGGGGATTTAGCTCAGTAGCACTGCACCTGCCTCACAAATGCAAGGTCCATCTCCTAGTGCCACATCATACCTCACGTAGGGATCTCTTCTCTAGCATATCCTAGAAGATGTTGAATCCATTCAGAAAGGAATGGTCACCAACTAAAAGAAGTACTCTGACTCTTTTCCCTTTTCATTGCAGGAAGCAAGGTATGTACCAGAGCTGAATCACACCAAGCTCTTAGTAAGTCACCAATAAAGCCAGAACCCTGGTTTGGGGTTCTCCGAACTCCCAAAGTTTCCCATGATGAGGGACATATTCTGGCTAGAAAACTCTTCATCTCAATACACCAGGGTTCTGCCCACTGCCTGGTTCATTCTAGTCCCCTGGGTGTTTGTTTGTTTTTGGTACTGGGGATCGAACTCAGGACCTTGCAATTGCAAGGCAGGTGGTGGAACCACTGAGGTAAATCCCCAGCCCCTCCCCTGGGTTTTTTATTGCCTAGAGACTGAAGGTTATGATAGCAGGCCAGGCCTCGAACACATTTTTCATGTCTCCTGTGGTCCCTGGTATTGTGCGTGTCACAAAGTGTTTTAGAAATGTAACTGTCCTTAACAGCAGCATGTTCAGACAGAGACTTCCCAGGAGCACAGACAGTTGGGCCAACAGCCTTTCCTGGCGCAGTCATGTATAAGGAGGCAGACGGAAGGTTGGCGTCTGTGATAAGGAGAACATGGGTCCTTCCTTATCACTTACTGAGAGTAAACTGTTGAAATATTCCTAGACCTTGTTCTAGCATTGTAGATTTAGGGGAAATTAGAGGGTATGAGAAGCAATTTTTTTGCCCAAGATGTGGGACTCCTACATCCTCTGTCATCTACCTCAGGCATAAAGCAAGAGCAAAACAACAAATCAAACTGGTTTTAGTCAAGTTTCTGCAAGACCTCCTCTGCTTTGAGCCTGCTGTCTTTGTTTGGTTTTACTTGGACAGAAGCCAAAGGCAGAGACAGGATTTTGGCAGAAGGAATGTATCACAAGATTTTTTTTTTTTAATTTCTAGAGGTTCACTTCTCCCCACCATGCAGGTGTGTGGGGGGGTCTCTTTGTTTGTTTTTTGAGACAGAGTTTCCCACGTAGTTCAGACTGGCCTTAAACTCACAGCAGTCCTCCTGCCTCTGTGTCCCCAATGCCTGGATTATAGGTATGCACCACCAGCTCACTGTCTCACTTTGCATATAAAAATTTGAGCAGTGTAAAGGGAAGGGGGTTTGTATCAGGCTATAAAGATACTTAGGAGTAGAACCAGACTCAGATGCTCCCAGGCACTGACTCCAAGAAAAGAACACATGGTAGCTATGGTGCTGAAAAACACAACAGGCAGGACAGGCCATTTTTGTCTACACCCGGGGCTTAGCTCTTGGGGATCTAGGATATACCAATGTGGCAGGGCCAGCTGTGGGGAACAGACATTCTCTTGGGTGGCTTGAGAACACTACAACACCACTGCAGCTCTGCTGAGGAAACTCAAGCCCAAGCCCAGGGGCACCTCCTCAAACTCCTTTGTGCTTGTGGAAAGCACTGTGATCTCTGCTGCTGGTGTCAACAAAATCATACATCGGGAATGGAAAATTCACCTTACTGGGCTGGAAATAGTAAGAGCTCTATAAACATGAGTCAGGCACAATTTCAGGCTACTCTGTCACTATTACACCAGCTATTTCTCTGGGATCTCTATAGCTTTTAAGCTGGCTAAGAATTCCGCTCCCACATTCCTAAGTAGGACCTTTACAGAGATTTCTGGAAGTAAATACCAGTACAAGAGCCTGAATGCTCAAATCAAGCCAGTAAAAGTGAAGAACTGTCCTCTTAAATAAGTTATTAAAGTCAGATTTTTTGTGTTCACCCAATATTAAACAAAATATATGAGAAGACAATCTAGGACTGCCAGGAAGGCAGTCTTGAGTACTTATGGTTCAGTGACATTTAGGCAGCTAAATAGGGGTGTGGACAGAGCTTTTCCAGGAGGCAGCAAGGTAAGCAGCGGCTAAAGTGCATTTTTCTGACAACCATCTCACCTATTAAGAAACCAATGATAGGCCTTCCACATTCACCTGCCTCAGGATGGGCTTCAAGTTTCAAGGCTCTTCCCGTGCACCTGTCTCTACCTAGAGAGACATATATCTCACTGAGGCCCTGTGCCAAGACCGCTAGAGGGCAAATCTGGGCTCCCACCCTCCCTCCACAGTCCCCTAACTTCTGCTTTTGTAGTATCTTTGGAAAGATGGTATGCTGGGCTCCTTTCCCGGATTTCTGGATTTCAAGACATGGTATCGTTGCACAGCTGTGAAGTTCTGAAACACAGTAGTCGCGTGTGGATGACCTCGAATTCCTCAGCATGTTCAGATTATAATTACTGCGGGTGGAGGGGGCCCCTGGCTTTCTCCTGGACTTTCTGCTTGCTGTGAGCCTGCTGTACAGAGCAGGTGAGCAAAGGCCGCAGCTACAGCACCCCATCTCCACTCCCATCCCCATACCACTGACTGGCCTCTAGGGCTTCAGTGCTGACGCCAAGGCCAGAGGTTTCAAGCCCGGGAAGCAGCGGCCCAGGTGGTTCAGGTGGTGGCACCGAGGGGTTGCTGTTGCCTGCGCAGCCCCCACTGTGGCCTGAGCGCAGGTGGTCCTTGAGTGTCTGCTTGTAGCGGAAGCTTCGGCCACAGAGAGCACAGGGGTAGGGACGCTCTCCAGTGTGGATGCGCTGGTGCTTCATGAGGTGGTGCTTGCGAATGAAGCTCTTGCCGCAGTGCACGCACGGGAAAGGTCGCTCGCCTGTGTGTAGCCGCCGGTGGTTGAGCAGGTGCTCCTTGCGCATGAAGCTCTTACTGCAGTCTGTGCATGGGTACGGGCGCTCCCCCGTGTGGATCATCTGGTGGCGAATGAGAGCCGAGTGGCCGTTGAAGTCGATGCCACACTGTGGACAGGAGAAGGGGCGCTCCTGCGCGTGGCCCCGCTGGTGCAGCAACAGGCTGAGCTTCAGGCTGAAGCTGCGGCCGCACTGTGAGCAGCGGAAGGGCCGCTCGCTGGAGTGTGCGCGCCGGTGGCTGCTAAGCCGTGCCTGGTCTGCAAAGCGCTTAGGGCAGTCGGGGCAGGGGAAAGGGCGCTCGGTGCTGTTGTGGACTCGCAGGTGGTAGGTGAGTCTCGAGGGGTGTGTGAAGGTCCGGGAACAGTGTGGGCAGGTAGGGGGTGTCTCACCAGCGTATTCCTGGGAGGTGCTGCCCAGCTCCGGCTGCACTGGAAAGTGCTTGGGGCACTGGGCACAGGGCCCAGGGTGCTCAGAGGTGTGGCCACACTGGTGGGTCAGCAGCATGTCCTGGCTGAGACTCTTGCCACAGTGGTGGCAGGAGAACACCTGCTCTCCAACGGGAGGCGGGAGTGGGTAGCTTCCCAATTGAGTGAATGTCACTTGTCCCTCTGAGGCCTCGGGCAGGTCGGTGACTGCACGTCCAAAAGATGTCATGGGTGTAGATTGCTGGCTTTTGAATGCCACATCTGAGAAAGCATCCTTTGAGGCTGCTGCTGGGGCCACAGAGAAGGTGACTGGAACCTCAGGGCACAAGGCAGTTGGAACAAGGCCTTCAGCTTTGATGACAAGCTCCTCCTCTGAAAAAAAGGACTCAGAGTTACCTCCCTGCATTCTGCCCAGCCCTGAGAGAATTTCCCCTCTTCTGACTGCTCAGAAAAGGGACTCCCTGGAACCTGGACACTAATCAAAAAATGTGCACTCCCTGTGGCAAATCATCGGGTAGTTTAAGCTTGTGCTTTTTCTGATGCTGCTCCATTTGGAGAAAAAAAACCTTGGTGTTGAGCTTCCCTACTTCACTTTCACCGTGCTTTGCCTCTGCTTTTTCTTTGTCACCTACTGTGATTGACTCCTGTTTTCCCCTATCCTACTGGATAGATTCTTCAATATCATCAGCTATCTCTACTTTCCCTGATGACAAAGCACACATTTCTACTTTTGCATCTTTGCTCATTGTGTTTTGGGTTTTTTTCCTCCAGCACTGGGGATTGAACCCAGAGCCTTCACTCTGAGCTGCATCCTTGGCCTTTTGTATTTTTTATTTTGAAATGGGATCTTGCTAAATGGCCCAGGCTGGCCTTAAACTTGCAATCTTCCTGTCACAGGCTTCCCGAGTGCTGGGATTACATGGCCAGCTGTGTTCTCTTCTGTAGAATGCATCCTCTCTTTCCCTGTTTTCACATCTTTCTTCCTCCTCTGAATAACTAAGCTAGAAGGGATACATGTTTCTTTGCTTCTTGCTTCTTTCATTTATACATCCACCCTACCCATCCTCAGCCTACCACAGTGGGCATGCCTAGCACTACTGTGTGTCCCCCAGGGGAAGCTTCTAGAAGGACAGAAACTTTTTTAGTTTTAATTTGTACTTCCCAGAGTATAAAGGAAAACAGAGCACAGAGGTATTAAAAACAGACTGTATTAAGTTGTATGAACAGTTGGGTCCCTTATGACCTTGAGATTCATTTTTATTATTCAAGTGGCAAAATGCAGATGGTGCTAAATATCTTCCAAGGAAGCTACTTCTGTTTATTCTCCCATCATTGTTTGTCCTTTAACTGAAGGCTCTTAACATTGACTATGCCTCTCCAATGACATTTTGTCTCCACTGGCATCTCCCAACCCACTCCCCATTTCTGATCTATCTTTCCTAAGTGATCTGCAGATGTTCTGTTTTTCCTCAGCCTCGTACTTTTGGTCCATCTATCAGCAATTAGTTTTCCTCCCCTAATAATTTTAATTTGCTTGTTTTTGTTGATGTTGTGCTGGGGATTGAACCAGGGCCCTTACACAAGGTAAGCACATGTTACCACTGAGCTACACCCCAGCCCCAACTACTGTATTTTAATCTGTCTTTTAATTTACGAGTATGTTTTCTCACTTATGATTTATCTTAGAGGCCTGCTGGTTTCATTGCTAACTTAGGTGACCATGTCCTTTTCTTTCTCCTGCCTCTTCCTTGCCTCTAGACCCAATGTCAGGTTCTTGGCTCCCTCCTGGTGTGGGCTGGGGCTGGGCAGAGCAACTCTTCAGGCTGTCACTCACCAGCATAGGTGCCTTTGTACACTTCGCTCTCCTTGGCCTCCTGGGGGGGCCCAACCTGAGGCTCCTCCTCCTGCTTGATCCAAGACAGAATATCTGATGTTGAAAGTCCAGGCTCTGTAAGTGGGGGGAAAAAGAAAATGGCCTTCAGGAACTTGAATCAGAAGGTAAACATTATTTCTAACTAATTTTAGCTTGCGTTTCATTTTTGGTCAGCTCATTTAAAAATAAATCACAATTCTTATTTTGGAGATGACACCCTGAAATAATCTAGAATCAATAGTAATTTTCATTTTGGTAGTTTTTTGTTTGTTTTGTGATACTAGGAACTGAACCTAAGGCCTTCGCCCTGAGCAACATCCCCTTTTTTATTTTTTATTTTAAGACATGTTCTCATTAAGTTACTAAATTACCTAGGCAGAATGTGTGATTCCCCCTACCTCAGCCTTCCAGAGTCCTAAGATCACAGGTATGTGCCACCATGCCTAGCTGGCAGTACTTATATGTAACAATATTTTCACTCTTTTCTCTCATTTATGAAATAATGGAACACGTGGTATTTTTCCTTTTAAATAGGCCTACAAAGGTTAAATAAATCTCCAATAAGTGAAACACTGATTTATCAAAGATCTGCTTTAAAACACACCAGAAAAAAGCAAAGAAACAAGTCTAACCAAAAGAGGTTTTGGTTTTTAAAATGTTCAGTAAAAGACAAGTACAGAGTTAGGTCAGTTTAAACACAGCACACTTCCGATTCCCAATTCTGGGCTCTTTCTCAGAGATCATATTACCTTTGTTTATTAAATTCTATAGGTCATTGTTTCCCAAACTCTTGATGGAGTGAAAATAGCATCTGCAAGTTCTTCAGGGTTTGGGGATTCTTGTGAAAGAAGAAAGTATCAGCTCTGAAAGCTTTCCACATATACGCACTCATTCCTTACATGCTTGTTCTTTAGTCTAGGCCTAGACGACCTTCTCTGGCCACTGCAGACAAGCTGGCAAGGTCCTGACAGTAAATTCAAACTCTTCAAACTTATTTCTCAAAAAAGCCCTGCAGGCAGATTATGGTTTCATTCACAGCAAATAAACAGAACTTCCTGCTCTGCTCAATGCTTCTTAAATCAGCTAGAAGCCCTGGAGTCTAAGGGTGTGGCCAGAGCAGAGGAAGAGGCTAGATAAGACTAGGGTCCAAGACTACCTTTTATGCAGAGGGGAAAGCACAGGCTTCAACCCAGACTGCAGCTGCCTTTCCAGCTGCTACTGTGAGCTGCCAGCCCAGCCTTACCTTTGTTTACACACACACACACACACACACACACAGAAAAGGCAAGGGGCTATGGGATGTGCAGAAGAGCTCCTGACAACCAAAGGATAAACTTCGATTTATCAGAAACCTGACTCTCGTACGTGCCTAACAGCTTTTCTTTCACAATTTTTTGAACAATGAGTTAGTGCTCTAGAAACCTTCAAATGTAACTCCAGTGTTTCTGCCTTTTTATTGTAACTACAAATTCAGAGAATGGGATCCATATGATTAGTTTCAATGCACTGAGTCACTGTTCTCTTTAAGGTGCCATTATCCCTTCTTTGGCCTGCAGGTAGCACTCTGTGCTGCTCACACAGCCCTACAAGCCCAGCTTCCTTCATTTCTGGCAGGACAAACTACCCCAGGCTCATTGGTGCACTTCCTCTCCAGGCTCAGAAATAGGGATCCTTCTGACAGGGGTTTGGCCATAAGGCTGCCACTGTCAATCAGTTCCCATTGCTTCTAGGCCCTGTCAGTGGATAAAGCTATGAGATACAGACTTCTCAAGAGAAGCAAATGTACTGAGTCCCTATTAATATTTCTGTTTCATATGTAACATTACTGCATTAACACCAGAGAAAAACTATAATTGTACATAAGATCCTAATGATATAACTGACAATGTAAAATAGGAAGAAAAGGGCTAAAGGTGTAGGGGAAGTGCGAAGGGTAGGGGACACGAAATAAAGGAAAAGAAAAAAAATATGAGAAAATGAAAAAATGGAAATAAAGTATTTGTAAATAGGGAAGGGAGGAGAGGGTAAAGGGAGGGCAGGGTTAAGGGGAAAAAATGAGAACCAAGACCTGTCACGTAAAGGTACAAGATCCCAATGATGAATGTAACTGTACTGTATACCTAAAATGTACCAATAAACTCAGTGAGAAAAAAAAAGATTACTGCATTCAAATTAAACCTTTTCACCTTAAACTACTATCTTTCTTAACCCTGAAAGTCTTAGTTTCTAATGACATTAACATAATCTTTGCTTAATCTGAATATATGTCTCAAGATAATACTATTAACAAAAATATGAACTCAAAGTTTTTTTATGATTGTTTTAGTCTTCAGGTTATGTCTCTCTAGGGACATACACTTAAAATACTGTGTTTTAAGATCATTTGAAATAAATCTGTATATACATTTAGTTATTTTATTTTTTTAATAGTAAAACATTTATTGGTACATTTTAGGCATACATAATAACACTCATCATAGGGAATGTGTACCTGTACATGATATATCTGCCTCTTTTTTTCCCTTCTCCCCTTCAAGCCTCCTCCCCTCCCTATGTACAAAAGCTTTGTTTCCATTATTTCCTTCTATTTTTTATTTTACATTTAGTTATTTTAGTATGTGATTTTTAAATTTTTTTCTTAATTATATAAAATATTTACAGAGTTCTAAAATCAAAATTGTAAGGGCTGGGGATTTAGCTCACTGGTTCTGCTGCATGCTTTTCAAGAATAAGGACCCAAGTTCAATCCCTAGTACCAAATAAATTAATTTAATTAAATTAAAACTGTAAAATAAGGTATATTCAGAAACATCTTACTCCCATCTCTCTTTCCTTTCTCCCATATAGAGGTAGCCATTCTGGCTGGTTTTTCTTTTAATCTTCCATTCACTGTTTCTTTGCGAACCACATAAATACGTACACTGTGAGCTAAATAAACCTTTCCTCCCTTAAAAAAATATGTACAGAGTCACTTTCCTTTTTTAATATAATGTGCCATACTACATAAATAATTTTGTACTTTGATTTTTAACATTTTATTCTGGAGATCTCTTTACAGAAGTTCATGGAAACCTTTCTGGTCCCTTTTATAGGTGTACTACATAGCTGCATCATTGTTTATTCAAAAGTCCCTGCTTTGGATTCTTTCTAGTCTTTAGTTATAATATAGTTAGCAGTCAACCATAAAAACCAAGCCACTGCTCTAGAAATATTAGCATCTATTGTTACTAGAATCCTCCAGTTAAGTAACAGTACAGTATACTGACCTTGGGACACTTCAAAAAACTAACCTTTCTTCTTTTTCTCTTCCTCCTCCCATCCCCTTTTCCACTTGCCTCCTTCTTTTTTTACATTTTTGAGTCAGAGTCTGTCTCTCAAATCCTAGGCTGAAGCATGAACCCACTTCAGCCACCCGAGCAGTTCAGAATACAGGTGTGTGCCACTATGCTCAGCTCCCTTCTTTGTGAATGGTGAAGCCCAAAAGTTTAACAGTTCCTCTGTTATTTAATAGATCTCTGGTCATTTAATAGATCAACAGGACTAAAGATTTATTTTATTAAAGTGTTGTAAAAGAATGTGTAGAATTGGCTGGTGTCTGTCACAAGCTGGTAAGATGGTGTGAGTACGGAATGTGAGCACCCCGAGGAAAGGAATTAGGAAGGATGAAGCCTGGCCACCAGATGTCCAGCAGGACCTGGAGCACACAACTGCTGGTCACCACACCTGCACCAGGTCATCAAGCAGCACTGCATATTATTCCTCACAGGCTGATGTGTGTACTTACAGGGGCACAAAATGAAAGTAAAATCACTCGATCATGTAAGCAGCAGGCTTTGGAAAAAGCCAGAAAAACTGCATACTGATCAGGTAAGAGGAACTGAGTAAGTGCTAAGGTTTTGTTTTTGACAGCAGTTAAAAGTAGAAAGACTAATCACAAGAAAATATAAAATTTTATGTCTATATTGGTTGAATGTTATTTTAAGTATGAATCTAATTAGATTAATCTAATTTTGTGCATTTTAATCTGATATGGATCATGCTTTCTGAAAAGGGGCCAGAAACTCAAGGTTCTGGGATTTGCACAAAGGGTTTTTAAACTAAATTGAGGCACAGTGTGTTGCGATCTGGCTTCTTAAGAAGACACTAAAAATATGTGAGATGTGAAACTACCATTGTTAAAAATACAATTTTCTTTTATAAAACAGGTGTGGGACTGTTAACAGCCAGACAAATGTGCTATTTTGTAGTAAGTTAAAACCTCTAAGTTTCATGATCCTTGTTCACAAATAGGTTAAACTAGAAGTAGCATAAATTAGGATATATGCTAATCATTTATTTTCTTTAGGAAAAGATGGTCACAGATAAATGTGGGCTAACAGCAATGAATGTGGGACAGCAATGGTCAAAGACATCTCCTCCAGGACTGTGAATTTTAGAAGTGAGTTTATTTTCCTTCCAGGTTATTCTAGAATCTTGGCTTGAGTTTATGCCTTCTGAAGTGGAAGAGCAAGATAACAGACTTGCAGTAATTATTCTACTTGAACTTCTGGGTAAATATTTTCCCAAAAAATAAATTCTAGAGAAATTGGGAGTTCAGTATTAAAACTGCCAGTAGCCAAATAAGGACCATGTACAAACACCTGGCCTGCAGCCTGACCCTAGTAATAGATTTAAAGAATTTCAAAAACTCTCACATTTGTATTTTTCTATATTCTCCAGTCACTTCTATTGGCTACTAACTATATAAGATTTTTATCTAAAACACCAAAAACCTATGAGTTCCCCAGGAGGGGATTATCATTTCTCTCCTTTCACTGGGTTCTGATGATACTGATGGAGGTAGACTGTAAAGTTAATTTAAGAGTATTTAGACATGGGGGGGGAGGTGCTACATCATACCAGTACTATCCCCAAGTGTATGATTCCATTATGCTTTCATTTAATTAGTACACAGCAATTCTTCCTAAAGCTCTGAAGAAACCAACACAATAATGCATTATAGGCCTAATTTTATAAGAAATAAGGATAATAGCTAGGCTTGATGATGCACGCCTGTAATCCCAGCACTCAGGAAGCTGAGGCAGGAAATTATCCTGACTTCAAGGTCAGCCTCAACTATATAACAAGATCATGTCTCAAAAAAAGAAAAACAAAAGAAAAATGTAGAAAATCCAAATGCATTTTAGAAAATTAAGGTTTCTAAAAGTATGTCAGTATTCTAACACAAACACATTAGTCTAACAACAAATTACAAGGTATATTAAAATTTCTTAAAACAAACATGATACTGTTAAGAGAATCTGCTTGCTCAAGAAAAAGCAAACAAAATGTTATATTAGAATATGATAGCCAGGCATGGTGGCGCACACCTGTAATCCTAGCACTTGGGAGGCTGAGGCAGGAGAATCACTGTGAATTCAAGACCAGCCTGGCATAGTGAGTTCCAGGTCAGTCTCAACTATATAGTGAGACCCTGTCTCAAAAAAACCAAAAACAAACAGACAAAAAGAATACGATAAAGAAGAGAGTTATTTCACATTGTCAATTATATCATTAGGATCTTATGTACTATTATAGTTTTTTCACACCAGAGAAACTATTTGGTATTTACACATGTGTGAATTATTCATTTCACTTAGGAGTATATCCTCAATATGTATCCATTTCCGATGAATGAATCTAATTTCTCATTCTTTATGTGAAATAGGAAGAAAAGGGCTAAAGGTGTAGGGAAAGTGGGAAGGGTAGGGGAAAGGTAATAAGGGAAAAATATATGAAAAAATGGAAATAAAGTGTTTGTAAATGGGGAGGGGAGAAGGGGGTGAAGGGAGGGCAGGGACAAGGGGAAAAAATGAGAACCAAGACCTGTCATGTAATGGTACAAGATCCCAATGATGAATGTAACTGTACTGTATACCTAAAATGTACCAATAAACTCAATGAGAAAAAAAGAAAAGAGATTTAAATAGTTGAATAAAGAATAATATATCAAAAAGATACTTTTTAAATCCTATCACTCACATGACCTAGAATTAGTTTCCTCCATCTAGTATTTATATAGGATAGTCTTATGTCTTCATGATCAACAGTGTTTAAATACTACAATCCGCTGCAAGGAACCAGGGCTACTCTGATGTGTCAGAAGGAAAACTCAAAACAGGCAAAATAAGGGCCGGGGATTTAGCTCAGTGGTACCTCAGCCTGCCTTGAAAATGCAAGGTCCTAAATTCTATTCCCCATCCAAAAAAATAAACAAACAAAAAACCCCAGACAAAATAGAGGGCCTGTGGCAGGTTTGTCCTTGGCTGCAGACCATTCACTACACTGATGTGACATATTCTCTAAATGATAAGAGTGGCTAACAGCGCCTCAACTATTTGCCAAACAGAGTGGTTTGTACAGACCACTGCCTATCCTTTTGGGAATCTAGAATCTGGGTCTGTCCTAGGCCTGAGAGCGCCTATGTGACAGCCAGCAATAAAATCCACGGGTACCAGGTGTCTAATGAGCTGCTGCAGTAGACAGTGTTTTGTATGTGCTGTCACAGGTCACTGCTGGAGGGATAAGGTACCCTGGGAGAAGACCTGGGAAGCGTGTCTCTGATTTTCTCTACAGGCCTTTCCCCTTTGTTGATGTTGTTTTGTATCCCTTTGCACTAATAAATGTTATTTCTAGGTCCAAGGAGACTATGTGCTGAATCCCATAAACTTTTAAAAATGTTACACAATGATTGGCCCAAGTTATATGAATCCTATTCTCAAGTTTTGGTAAATATGTAGGCTCATAATCATTGATGCAAGAATGAAATCACAGTATTAAATCAATCAAACACACTATTCATTTCAGTATAAAATATATAGGTTGACTACTCAGAAATGGAGTTTAAACAACTAAAGTAAAAATAAATTCACTAGACTGTAGCGAACTAAAACTTTCATACATCATTACAAAACCAAATTATCTGTATCTTTTTCCTCCCAAAAGAGAATGATATACAGGTATTTAATTAGAACAGCTGAGGGCAATACCAATTAATAATGTAGACTAAAGAGATAAGGGCCAGGGATTTAGCTCAGTGGTGCCAGTGCCTGCCTGGCAAGCACAAGGTCCTGAGTTTGATCACTGGTACCAAAAAAAAAAAAAAGTAGACTAAAGAGTTCAATAATGAACCTTTTATAATCGATCCATCTTTATAGGCAATATTACTACATACATGATATAGATCAATCAGCCAACTGTTGTACTGCCTAAATGCAGTCACTCACGCATTCTTAAAAAATAATATATGTGGCAGTAGCGTATGCTGCTCAAAACTCAGGGAAGTCATACTTCACATCAGAACATTTCACTGTATGTAAAATTTATCTCAAAAGAAAAAGAAACAAATATTGAACTGTAGGTGATATCATAGTCATGCTGAACTATTTTCAGGAAAATGTATTCATATCTCCACTAATTTTAAAATACATCAGAAATAGGATAAATGCTGAGCATGGTAGTGCATGACTGTAATCCCAGCACTTGGGAGGCCGAGGCAGGAGAATCACCATGAGTTCAAGGCCAACCTGGGCTACACAGTGAGGCCTTGACTCAAATAAAAAAAAAAAAAAAAAAAAAAAAAGAAAGATAGATAGATAGATACATACATACATACATACATACATACGTAGATTAGCTGAGTATGATGGTTTCCCTATAAACCCGGCTACTTGGGAGCCTGAGCCAGGAGGAGGATCACAGGCTTGAGGTCAGCCTGGACAACTTTGTGAGACCCTGCTCAAAATCAAAACAAAAACAGCACGGGAACTAGCAGAAAGAATCAACAACTGGGATCTCATCTTACTAAAAAGCTTCTGTACTTCAAAAGAAACCATTAGCAGAACTAAGAGACAATCTACAATGTGGGAAAAAATTTTTACCAGCTGTACCTCAGACAAAGGACTATTATCAAGGATATATAAAGAACTCAAAACAATCAGTCCCCCCCCAATTTAAAGACCCGATTCAAAAATGGGCATCCGAAATGAACAGACATTTCTCATACAAAGAAGTAAAAGCAGCAAGAAAATATATGAAAAAATGTTCCACATCACTGGTCATTCGAGAGATGCAGATGAAAACAACACACACTGAGATTCCACCTCACCCCACAAAGAATGGCTGCTATCAAGAAATCACACAATAACAAATGTTGGCGGGGTTGTGGGGAGAAAGGAACCCTCCTCCATTGTTGGTGGGAGTGCAGACTATGGAAAAAACCACTATGGAAATCAATATAGAGATACCTCAAAGAGCTTGGACTGGAGGTTCCATTTGACCCAGCCATCCCTCTGCTGGGTATCTTTCCAAGAGAACTAAAAGAATCATATCACAGAGAAGTATGTGCACCCATGTTTATAGCGGCACAGTTTGCAATAGCTAAATCTTGGAAACAACCTATTTGCCCATCCATTGGAAACTGGATAAAGAAGTTGTGGTTTTTCTATAAAATGGAATATTACTCAGCCATAAAGAGCGAGAGAATAGATTCATTCATAGGAAAATGGATACATATTGAAGATATACTCCTAAGTGAAATAAATAAGTCACACATGTGTAAATACCAAATAGTTTCCCTGGTATGAATATTCTGCAACAATGCATAAGATTCTAATAAGATTACTGGCATTTAGAAATTTGAAGAAAGGAGCTAAAGGTGTAGGGAAGGTGTGATGCGTAGGGGAAGAACAAAAAGGGAAACGAAAAAAATGTGAGAGAATGAAAAGATGAAAATAAAGTGTTTGTAGATGCGGAGGGGAGGAGGGGGGGAAGGGAGGGCAGAGGTAAGGGGAAAAAATGAGAATGAAGACTTGCCATGTAAAGGTACATGATCCCAACAATGAATGTAACTGTACTGTATCCCTAAAATGTACCAATAAACTCAATAAAATTAAAAAAAAAATCAAAACAAAAAGGATTGGGAATGTGGCTCAGTGGTAGAGTTCTTGCCTAGCATGTGCAAGGCACCAAAAAAAAAAAAAGGAGGAGGAAGGGAGGGAGAAGGGAGAAAGGTGGTATGTAGGTACATAAGTTGGTTGATGGACTAATGGCTGGATGGGAAAAGGGATGCAGAAATGGATACACATGTGACAAAGAAGTTGAAAAATGTTAGTGGTAGAATCTAGTGCTGAATAGTACATGTTCACTGTAAAATTACTTCAACTTTCTGACTGAAATTTGCAAAATAACAGTATATGAGACCATAATAGAAGCTGATCTAATAGTGAGGTCCAGGGAATAAACTTTCTAATAGTGATGCCTATGAGTTTCTATCCAGCAAAAAAGCATATGAGAATTTTCTGGTAGCAAAGGTGGGATGTGAAAGAACACAGCTAGACTTTGGCTAGCAATTTTTCTGCAGTGCTCTCCAGACCTGGGTACATCCACATTTCCTGGGGTGAGGGGAGTATCAGGGGCAACTGGCTAAGTGCACCCTAGAGCACACACAGATGTCTAAGACCTTCTACCCTCCAGGAGGGCCAGACATGCCTTCCCTCCAACCACTTCACTCCAGGTGGGCATGACTGCTTCCTGTCACGTGAGCACACACTTATTTTTCTAAATTACTATGTCTGAGTACTTTTATCAGGAAACATATTTAATAACCCTGGGATATGTGGCATTGACAGCTGAAGGCACAGTACAAGGCGATCTCTAAGATCCCCCTTGTATTTAAATGCCCAAAGTCTTAGATGCTTTGGCACTAAATGGATCTGGAAGCCCCTGGGCCCCACTTACTTCACTCTGCACCCACTTCTCCACCAGGAAACAGGAAAGGAGATGAGGAGCGGATACTATGCCTCTCACTTACCTTCATTGGGGACTGCAGCAATGTCACTCCCCTCTGGGCCTGCCTGGTCCTCTGTATTATGTTCTCCTTCTGGTTGAATCTGAGATAAGACATCAGGTTGACTCATGGCATAATCTAAGGAGAGGAAGGGACAGTGGTATGACAGAGAGACAAATAAGCATGACAACTAATAGCTGAAGGCTGAGCTCTACACTCCCAGTTTCTTTTAGATGCTTATCACTTCTCCCCATCCATCTATGGCCACTAAAAATGCTACCTACTTGGGAAAGCAGCTGAAGGAGATGGGCTGAGGGAAAGGCACATGCTAGGCTGACTCTGCCCATGGGTTCGTTTCCTGGAGCAACAAGTGACCATGTGGCTCCTGGGGCAGTCAATCCCCTTTCAAAGTGAAGGACACCCAAGGAACCAGTGGGCACCCTCATAAAGCTGAACTCCACTCTCTGTCCCATTGTTTGTCAAAAAGAGGAATTCTGATTTCCACTTAGTGTGAACTGGCCTCTGGGGCTTAGAACAAGACTGATGTGCATGAGGGCAGAGTGGGAATGAGGACACTGGAGGAAGGGACACTCTGAGGCCTCTTGGGGCTGCAGGTGCCAACTCAGCCTCACCCATGGAGATGAGAGACTCGTAGTTGCCCTTCATGATATTCTTGTAAAGTTCCTTTTGCCATTCTTCTAATTTTTCCCACTCTGGAGTGGAAAAGTAGATGGAGACATCGTCAAATGCCACAGGCACCTAAAATCACAATCACATGGGTTAGTCCTATCCATTGCAACAAATTCAATAAACCCTCCCCCAATTAGTTCCTTTATTGCTTTTTTTACACTATCAAAGAGTCAATAAATATTCTGAATAGCTTTTAAACTGTTTCATTTACCACCCACTTGTAATTCCATACTTATGCAGTACAGCATGTAGCTGGTACCTTTCTTGAGGTATATTCAAGCACTTTGCAGACAGGAAACAACTCCACGTGTTAAAAATATAAGTTTTACTGAGTTTCCTCATTTCCTCATGTTGAGATGTGGTTTCACTCTGTAATTCAGGCTGGCCTTAAACTCACTATGTAACCCAACCTGGCCTCAAACTCATAATCGTCCTGCCTCAGCCTCCCAAATGCTAGGATTATAGGCATGTGCTAATTGTGCCTGACTGATCCTTGGTTTCTGAAGAATCTGGTTTGGTGAGGGAAGGATCCATAGACGGAATTCCCGTGAGTTTTTCCCATCTTCTGATCCTCCGGACCTAGAAATAGGAAAGTTTTGATGTCACCACCAGCCCCAAGGATCACAGAAATCCTCACTGATTGGGTTCCATTTTTCTTTTTAAAGAGCTGTGAATGCCCCTTTTGACCCTCCCCGGGATTTTGATCACTAAAAGATGTTTGTTCTCTTCTTTTGGGCAGAATCTGGCGATGTTTTGAATGCATCTCCTTCTTTACTTTCAAACAGGTCTATTTTTCACTTTGAACCTCTATTGGAGATAGAAGGCCCAGTGGGCATCACAGGCTACCCTTACATTTTCTCCACACGAAACACTATTTAATGCCGGACTTTGTTTCCAGTTCTTCTCTGCCAACCTCTGAGACATCTACTTTCTCTTACAGTCCTGCTGTTCGTTTTCATGAAAAGACCTTTCTCTTCCTAGGCAACTGCAGATCACTGCTATTTCTCTTTAGTTTGATTATATTTCTTCTCTGCTTTTCTTTCAACCACAGTGTCTGCTTTTCTCTCAGAAAAGCATCTCTGCAGCTTCTCCTCACCCTTCTTCAATGTGGGCGCTCCATTTCAACCTTTCACTGTTTCCTTCAGCATCTGTTTGAATTCTGCAATTTATTCTGTCAAGTGAGGCCACTCATATCTACAAACTATTGATTTGCTATTTCAGATCAGAATTTTTATTTATTTGCATTTTCAGGACTCATAATATGTTGTTCGAGTTTTAAACTAATGCCCTGAGACTCCCTTCTGGCCTGGCCTGCTGTATTGCCATCCGAGAAAACCACAATTTCTCTTTACTCCAATTCTTTTCAGATTGCTTCCAGACATCATTTTCCCTAAATCTGCCCATGTATTCTCAAATTCTAGCTTTTCATTTTGTAAAACCACTCTTCTGATACCTTTATTCTTTTACATATTAATTCATAATCCTTTTAATTTTTTTTTCTTTTTCTTTTAAAGAGATCTTATTGTGTTGCCCAGGTGGCCCTGAACTCCTGGGTCACACATTACTCCAGCCTCAGCTTCCACAGTAGCTGGGGCCACAGGGACCACTGTGTGTAACTCCTTTTTCTACTAGAGCTTAAGCAGCGCTCAGAGATCATTTGAGAACTTCACTGAAAACCATACAATCTACCGTAGCTCACTCCTAGATGTTCCTGCATCGAGTTTGATCTGTTATGTCTAGTTTGAATGTTTTAAGGTTTTTTGTTGTAGTTGTTGTTTTGGTACTAGGGATTGAACCCAGGGTTGTCATACTGAACGACACCCCCATCACTTTCTCTTTTTTTTCTTTGAGGCAGGTAATTATGTGCAGAGATGCATTCTGCTACCAGCCAGGCAGAGGCAATTTTCTGTGAGATCACGGAGAGTAAGGCCAGGTAGCTAGGGTTCTGTCCTTCCTTTGCCACTCAAAAGGGGTATGATCCATTATAAGTTTGATTCCTTTACTGCTGAGCAGACTGATGCTGTTGGACTGCTGGAGATGAACTACTGGGTCTGTTTTTAGATGACTGTCACATTTTTCCTCTTCAAAGCCGGGCGTGGTGGCGCACGTCTGTAATCCCAGCACTCTGGGAGGCTGAGGCAGGAGGACTGCTGTGAGTTCAAGACCAGCCTGGGCTACATAGTAAGTTCCAGGTCAGACCCTGTCTCAAAAAACAAAAAACAAAAACATTTTTCCTCTTCAAACTCCCTCAAGCAGAGCCAGAGATGTGTGCTTATTTGGTAGAGTCCTTATTTGTTTCAAAGGTGGAGGGACTGTTTCTGTCTTCTGAGATTTTGTCAAACTTTGCTTTTTTCTAACTCTCCAGCAGCCTCCACAGTGGAGTAGAGTCGGCAATGCTGTTTTCCTCTGCTCCTGGTGAGGTGCCTGTTCTATGTCACAGAACCAAAGCAAGGGCCGTGGGAGTCATCAGTCTGCTCTAGTGGCTCTCAGAACAACATTTTATAAAGAACATTTTACTTATTTATTTATTTGTTTGTTTATTTATTGAGGCAAGTTCTCATTGTGTAGTCCAGGCTAGCCTTGAACTCACTATGTGCCCGATCACTTTTGATTTAGATTTTGATATAGGGCTTTACTAACAACACTTTTGCCTCAGTCTCCCTTAATTATAGAGATTATAATTGCTGAGATTATTTAATTCCTAAGATTATAGGCATGTTCCTCTGCACCTACCATAGCTTGAATATTAAATTCTTTAATGGTCAATGTATTTTTTGTTCAGTTTTATGCAATTTACTGATTTTAAACAGTATTTTTTCTTACTGGAATTTCTTTAGTTTTGTTTTGTTTTGTTTGAGACAGGGTCTCACTATGTAGTTGAGAATGACCTGGAACTCCTTATGTAACCCAGGCTGGTCTCGAACTCAAAGTGATCCTCCTGCCTCAGCCTCCCAAATGCTGGGATTACAGGCGTGAGCCACCACGCCCGGCCTTACTGGAATTTCCGATTCTTAATGTATTTGAGCTTTTAACAGTTCTACTTTTTGTGGAGTTAATACCTGCAGTTCATTTCTCCTAAGTCTTTAGTTTTCTCTAACTCACCTATTGGCTCTTCAAACACAGCTGACCTTTTTCTTGGTGAGTTTGTTCGGTATGAACAGTCGCTTGAGTTGATTTTGTAACTTTATATACTCATTCTGCTACCTGTATGTTCAGCTTTCAGAGTATGATGACAAGATTTATGATGTTCACATCCTTACCCTTCAGCAACTAACATTTTCTGTAACTCACATTGAGAATTTGTTAGCTATTTCCACCAGGAGAAAATGTGGTGTCTACATTGGACAGTGAACTGACACCACATAAAAATAAGTTGTGGCTTTCCTATTGCCTATTTTCTTTACAGGAGTCTTTCTCATTTCCTCCTTGCTAAGGTAGAAACCAGGTAAATGAAATTATACCGGACTCACACCCAGCCCTCATGATGAATGCACATAAAACTTAACAGTGAGTGTTGTGGTCAGACTTCCCATGGGGGACACTTCCACAGCTCTAACCATGGACATACACTGAACTCATCTCACTGAGGCACCGGGGTTCAGCAAGGTGGTCCTACACTCTGGCACTGGTAGAGCTCACCACACATGGCAGGAGGAGGATGGTGGAGTACCAGAGAGGAAAAGCAGCAAAAAGGAGGCAGAGCAAGAAGGCAGAGATGAGGGCCAGAAATCCGAGTATGCAGGAGAGCTGCGAAGGCAGAGCAGCATCCGAGAACAGCCCTCTCTCCCTCGGGGGACCAAGATGGGACCTTCACCTGCCACGGCCAACTCAGGTCCCTCAAAATATAAAGCGTTCACTTAGTTGCAAAAAGCCATGTGAAGGAGTAAAAGATTACAAGAAAAACAACATGGTTCAGCCTCCATGAGTTCAGTGTTTACACAGGAAAAGATGATAAACTCTAAGCTACAAATTAGGGGAGAATGGAGGCCATTATTTGTAAATAGTCACAAATAAGTTAGGAATAACTGCAAATATAGTTCATATAACAAAACATTCTGAGAATCCACTACATATAAGGTTCTCCATAAGCATCAAGATTATAAAGACATGGTTTCTGGGTTAGGTGTGACGACACAGGCCTGTAATTCCAGCTCTCTGGGAGGCTGAGGCAGGAGAATTGCAAGTTTGAGTCCCACCTGGGCAACCTAGTGACTTAGCAAGACCCTATCCAAATTAAAAAATATTATTTTTTAAGGGCTGGGGAAATAACAGTGAAAAAATCTTGGGTTCAATCTCCAATACCAAAAAAGAAGAGAAAAAGAAAAGCTTTCTTCCCTTTGGACTGCATACACATTGATACTCAAATGGAGCTCAACTCTCCCTAAGAGAGTTGGGACAGACTTTGACTAGTCCTCATTAAGAATGGGGGAAATATTTAACAAGGAAAACCACAGAGTGCGGTCAGAGGACAATGATGACTTCTGCCAGTTGATCCAAGTTTTACATGAGGGAAGTCATAAGACATATACTGCTTTAAAGCAAGGCACTTTACCCTCAGTAAAAACCAAAAGGTTCCTCTGCAAATAAGCACAATGTCAGCACTATGGAGACACCAATATTCCCAATGTGGGCACACAGAGGCGCAAAGCCTTCCTCACCCTGGCACTAGGTTAGGAATCATCCTGCCTTGCTCTCCCTCTTTCCCCTGCCCAGCAGTTTTATAGTCTAGTTCTTCTGTATGAACTAACTACTCATATCAATGGCCACTTAGAAAAAGCCTGTGATATGAACAGAAAAAAAAAAAAAAACAGAAAAGAAGGAAAAAATTACCATAGTGGTGCACATCAATAGTGAACAGAACTATTAAATTGTAAAGCTTTCAATTATTGTTCCCATAAGTATTTTGAGAGGACAAGACACCTATAAAGTATAAATACTTATAAAGCTATAGAAAAGGAGCCCGGCTTGGTGGTGCACGCCTGTAATCCCAGCACTTGGGAGGCTGAGGCAGGAGGATCGATGTGAGTTCTTCAAGACCAGCCTGGGCTACACAGCAAGT